TGCCATTTCTTCCAAATTTTGGTATGTATTTATAGAGAGTCCAGTGAAGAAGATGACGAAGCCGTCGAAGCCATGGCAGAAATTGATAAGTTTGAGGATAGTCTTAAACAGAAGGAAATTATAAAACCAGAGTAGAAATTAACTTTCTAAAAGTTATCCTTATTTCTTGTAAAAGAAAAAAATCTTGCCTCTGTAGATGGCTGTAAGAAATGTAAATAAAGTGTTATTTCCATTGTAGAGTGTTGGTTTAACATTCTACATCAATTGAAGAAAGAGCTTTAGTCAATAACGTTCATCTTCTCTATTGCAAGGAGCTGTTGCTTACATTAGTTCACACTCCCTTTAAAAATGGACGTCCACTGAATTTCAGCTTGAAAAATAGGTTTCTTTCAAACTCTGCCACGATATTAAGCTAAGTCCAAAATTCACTTTTTGTATACATCGCTCAGTATTTTGTTTCGGAATTAAAATCATCTTGTTAGAAGCCCATTTTGGTGGTCGCGTTACCCGAAAATTAGAAAAACTGCCGAGATGTTCATTTCACAATATTTCCTTCTTGAAATAAATTCTGAAATTGCTCGTTGTCACTTTGATCATGAGATACACTCATTTCCCTGTCATCGTCAACTTGTTACTTATTGGAGATATCTGGCAACTTTACGATAGCTGTTGAGTGTGGGATTATTGTAATTAAGGCTTCATTTGCGGCCACATCTTTCCCACCATAGTTAATTAGGGCGTTGTTTGGTGCGTCTTTCTGGTTGTGCGTGGCACACTGGCGGAGAGATTACTATGTGTGCAGCGCGGTAGAATCCAATGCAACTGAACGAGGAAAACCGTGGACCACAACGCATTTAAAGCATTAAAACGAACAGCGTAAGGTTCCAAAGGGAGAGTTTCAAACACGAAAATGGCAGAGCCGACATCTCACATGCGCAAGAGCGCGAGGAAACCACAAATTTATCAGCATTCAGATAATTTTATAATATGTTCACCATCTCCGCCAGCTGAGGTTTCCTTTTTCTGAGATTATAGAAACTAGGATGCGAATACCACTTCTAACATATTGTCGTCATGTTAACAAACCTTGGAATCGTAGTTTAAGCGGGGGGGCCTTTTGAAGTTAGGGACCGGTCGTAATTTACTTCCGAACGCGGGGACGGGAAGGGTTTGGACAATCGGTCGATGTTGTCATAAAAAATGTTTTTCATCGTGGTTTTGTAGATAATTGATCGTTTAATCGTTTGTCTCAAGATTTAGAGTTAAGCTATGAATTGTGTTGATCGTGAAGTTCCGACTTGTGCAGTCGAACCTGTATTAGGAAGCACCGTGTTAAGCGGTCACACTGTATAAAGCAGTCGGTTGTCAAAGACTCGAATTTGATGTCTCCAAATCACTGTAATCTTCACCTCCATCCTCCATGAAGTGGTCACCCCCATTTAGCGGTCATGGTCACCTTTGAGTGAGTCCCATGGGCCTATTTGTATTGTTTTTCACTTGTGTTGAGCAGTCAATTAAAGCGGAAATACTTAAATAAAACTAAATAAAATCTTTGAAGTAAAGTTAAATCCATGCTCATCTTCCGAAATCAAAGTTTATAAGGGTCTGTTCCCAGCTACTGATATTGATCCTCAAAGTTAGTATTATTTTTGAGCAAGTCTTTGTGCATTTTAAGGTCAATTATGCCATACAATGGCGTTCTTAATCGTTTCGTAGTTGACTCCTATTCTTTGAAACCTGATTGTAACGGTCAACCTGTATAAAGCCGTTATCCCACCATTCTTCGTGACCGCTTAATACAGGTTGGACTGTGTACTGATAGTCTCCGTCAGGCGACCTTTAATTATCTAACTAGGAGTTATCGTCGATTATAAAGAGCGTTAATTGGTTGAATATTGGGTTTTGGAATACTTAGAATTCTGACTACACTCACACGAGACATTTATTGTCAAAAGTTTATTTAGGATAAGTCAGTCAGTCTTTTAGTATACGCATTCTGATACAATCTTAATTTGTGCACCCTAAAACCAGGGGTACTACAAAAAGAATCTGTGCTACGCCGGAAACGAAGAACCTCTAAAAAACCACTCTGTAGATGAGGCCAAAAAATGTGTGGAAATGTATTCCTCATCTGGTGCTCAGCACAATACCCTGAGGAAAGGGTAAACTAACCTGATTGCACCACTGATTACAAAGAAAAAATAATTAACGTAATGATATTTTACAGGGAGTTGGAATACCAAAATTAAAACAATTACAAATATGAAAGTGGTCACTGATAAAGGAGAAGGTGATAAATACAAAAAAAATTCAAGAGACTTGATAATTTTTTTTTCGAAAAAGGCTAGAACCCTTCTTTTTTATATACTCCTTATGTGGTTGTTACAGAAGAAGGGAGATGTTTGTTTGTTAGAAAAGTTGTACCGGAGAACACTGGACATCCCATGCAGCAAAAAGGTAAGCTGTTCGTAAACAATTCAGTTCCCGCGTTTTGCAAATATTTAAGGGTAATATACACCGATAACCTCTACTCGGCGGAAAAATATTCTCGTAAATTTATCCATGGACATCATTTGTTCCTCGAAGCTCACAGTTTTCTTCGAGTTTCACTTTCAGAAAACTTCGCATTTTGGAATAGATAATGTCTGTAGACTTGTATCCTTGTATATTTTCGCAATAAACTGGAGGTAGTCTTCCTACAGTTATCTGTCACGCGTGACAATAGTTTTGTCAGCAAATAAGCGTTCTTTAATTGTTCTCGTACTGTTTGATGTAACCTTAGTAGCAGAGATATAAATAATAACAAGGGAATTTTCCGATATCAGTTTTCGTCCTTTCATGAGCTGCATCCCATATCATAACTCATAATGTCATTGTCTGGTGTTAAACGCCCACAATTTTTAATGTAAACCCCTTCGATGAGGTTCACTGTCTCTCGTATTCTACAAATCTCCCTCGAATAGATTCTGCACGATTGATTACTTGCATTATTCGCGCAAATTACGCCAGGATTGTTATTAGACGACGCGATCAAAGGTAACAAACAGACTTTTCGGTAAGAGTTTTTCCATCACGTAACTAAACGTAGCATTCCTTAATCGCAAAATGAAGTCGATGTCAGTTCTCAGTTAGTTCGATGTTTGCTGTATAGTTTCGGTGCTTCAGGCCCTACACTGAAACCATTGCAAGCAAACAGTAGCTTAAGGACGCTTCAACTTAAAGTGTAAGTAAAATATGTCACGAATTAGGCATCGTGTTTGTCATAAGCTCCATCACTTGCAAGTGGTAGACCTTGCATCCTCAAAGTGAAATGTTTCAATCGAATTCCTTTGTCGAGCTTGAAACATGTTTTATTTTTTTCCTTTTTTATCTGGAAACGCGTACATATCCTACAGAATTCAAGCATTGCACTCAAGTATAGATCAAAATATGGAACAAGTAGAACGAGGGATATCTCACTGAGATTAAGTTCGAGTGAACAGACTAACGGCTCAACCTCAAGTAACAACAAGATGGCGGTTGACAGTTTGATCATGAGGTTCTCTGTACATATTAACTTGTTATTTTTCCTATTTAGAAATCCATTCCTTTTTCGAAAATACAACAGTAAACACTGAGGAACGAAGAAAAGGTCATTGCGAAGGTAAGTTTAATCCACTGAGTTTATTAATAAGGGAACATTCACGCATATGTGCAGTTGATCACGTAAAATTAGTATATCGCATTAGAGAACAAATTGAGTCACTTAACAAGCATTCAAGTTATTACTTTCGGATGGGGTTCACAAATCTCCCTCGAATAGATTGTGCACGATTGATTAATCGCATCATTTGCGAAAATAACACGAGGAATGTAATTCCACGACGTGATCAAAGGTACCAAACAGACTTTTTTAAGTGAGAATTTTCCATCACGTAGCTAAACGTAGCATACCTTAATCGCCAAATGAAGTCGATGTCAGTTCTCAGTTAATTCGATGTTTGCTGCATAATTTTACAAAGCAATTTCGGTGCTTATGGCCTTACACCGAAACCACTCCAAGCAAAGAGTAGCTTAAGGACGCTTCAGCTTAAAGTGTAAGTAAACTATGACACGAATTACGCACCATGTTTGTCATAAGCTCCATCACTTGCGAGTGGTAGACCTTGCACCCTTAAATTGAAATGTTTCTATCGGTGTCCTTTGTCGAGGGTTCCTTTTTGATCTTTAAATGCGCACGTATCCTACAGAATTCAAGCATTGCACTCAAGTATAGATCAAAATATGGAACAGGTAGAACTACAAATATTTCACTGAAATTAAGTTCGCGTGAACAGACTAACGGCTCAACCTCAACCAACAACAAGATGGCGGTTGACAGTTTGATCATGAGGTTCTCTGTACATGTTAACTTGTTAATTTTTTATTTAGAAATCCATTCTTTCTTCGAAGATACCACAGTTAACACTGAGTAACGAAGAAAAGGTCATTGCGAAGGTAAGTTTAATCCACTGAGTTAATTAATAAGGAGACATTCACTCATAGATGCAGTTGACACGCAATATTAGTATATCACACTGATAGAACACATTGAGTCACTCAACAAGCATTGCAGTTATTTCTTTCGATTGTTCTGTTCTATCTCCCTGTTTTGGGGCTGATCAATGCACGCCTGACCCTTTCCGAGAATTGACAGACCCATACGTACTCTACATTGATTCACATTACATTTATCGCTCAAAACAGACAGCAAAGAATATTAACAATGAGATCTTGGCAGTGACAGGCCAAGGGATTGCAGTATTTTGGAACTTTGTCTTAACAATTGCATTTTTTAACAGACATTTTATTGTTGTTGCACTCAGTCGTCCGGTTGAGTACTTTTGATACTTTGGTATAAGGTGATTGACACATAGTTGTCTGTGATCGCGTGATCTGACAGACGACGCCCCGATTCTCGAAGCGTTGCATCATTGTAAAGCAACACTGGATCAACGGACGCGAACTTAATGCAGCGTCTTTAAAATTCGTAAAGAGCAACTCACTTATTTACATGTAGAATGTCAGTTTTGAGTCCAGACGCACGGATATGAGACAGACCATTTGAAGGACAACCTTCAACTTAGGGTATTTGTTCAAGAATGGAAACCGAGCGGTTTTATTTGATTGAGTTGAATTCATATCAGTTTTTCCCGACAGCTGTTGATGGAGTCGATTTCAAGCGTTGACAGCTTGTTTCTACATTAGAAGAGAAGCTCAAAGCTAAAGGTAAGAAGAATGCTTTTAACAAACCATCGTAATATACTTATGTGGGGACATTTACGAATCGCACATAAAGAAACGCACACCGTCAATAATCCTTGTCACAGCTTCCTAGCTCTTTAAACTCAACAAGCTTATTGGTATGTCTAAGCTAAATTTTACTGTGGGTAAAATCTCAATTTCGAAGGTGGCTTTTTTTTTTTCTCTGACCTATAACGCAAACATGCCAGAGTCAAATTTGTTTTCGATAATTGATAAAGGCTGAATTCCAAAGTGAAATGATCTGAAATGGAAAGACTTGGGAAATATTCCTCAAGCTGTGTTATTTTAGAAATCAATTTGTCGTCTTTGCTGCATTGTTAATAGTGAATGTGATTTTCTTGCACAATTTAAAGATGCAATATGGACCAGGATACAAGCGTCTGTCGTGATATATTTCTGGCTTGCAATCAGTCGGATTTTCAATTGGGAATGTGGAGTGTGGACCGGAAATTGAGTATGCG